AAAAATGTTCTGGTTCTTTGGATTACAAAAAATAAATGCTTATTATATTTTAGAAATGCTAGAAGTTTAACTCTCAAATTCATGAGAATTCCTAATATTTTGTAATTTCAAAAGTTTTTTAAAACATGCTCTCCAGACTTTTTTTGATCACTTATTTAATCAATAAAACATTTTGAGCATGTGCTTCATATATACAAAAATATATAAAATAAAAATATATGGATATGCATAATATATAATATACATAATACATGATTTCAAATACAAGTTGTATATTATATCTTATAAAATATATACATTATAAAGTATGTACAAAAATAGAAACTAAAAAGAATAAGCAAAAAAGAAAGAATAAAAGTAGAAATTCTAATAGAAGAAATAGAACCTTCCCAAGGGACGATCTTCTGGACCCACTCTGGAGACAACTGTTATAACCCACCCACATAAAATCTCCTAAGTGATTGCTGATATTTTTTTTATATAGACAATAAATTCTACAAATGGGACTATTTATTTCCTACTTGAATAGAGAGCATTCCTAATTCTTAGTTTACAGGCACACCTTCACAGAAAATTATTCATATGTTCTTACTATTTTGATTAAATAAAAATTCCAACCACAGGAGTCCCTGAGGTCACCATTTACTCTTGGATGAATTCAGCATGTTATGGTGACAAGGAATTTCAAACATGTACAGTTGTATGACCCTCTTGAAGCCTTATGTTTCCGACTGCAAGGAACAGAGAACAGGTGGCTTTTAGTTTAAAAAAAAATTAAACTTAAGGACCTCAATAGAAGAAAAACAAAGAAGATTAAAGGGGGGGAAAAGGGGAGTAAATCATTTAAATGCAGTAATCCATCATTTAAGCCTTCCAGAGGCTTCCCAGTTTAAAGGCGTAACTCAGTATTACCTTTTCTGAAGTGAGGACCTGCATTTGAACATACCACTGAATATTCTAGCATGGTGGCCAGACCACTGGTTCTCAGGTTGGCCTGGTTTGATCCAGCCCTGCCACTTACTGTGTGAAGTTAGGCAAGTTATTTAACCTTTCTAAGCCTTTGTGTTTTTGTATCTATAAAATGAATATGCGCGGCACCTACCTTCTAGGATTACTGGGTGGATTAAATGAAATAATATATGCAAGGTGTGTAGCACAGTGCCTAGGCTGTAGGAAGCACCCAATAAATACCAGCATAATTATTCAAAGAAACAGAAGTATATGCCAAACATAGCATCACCTTTTCTAACAAAGAGCCGAGAGTTAACATAAAATGTAAACATGGGGTTTTGTTTTGTTTTGTATTTTTGCTATTGTTCCTGCAGAATTTTCATCTCTCTTGATTATCACAGTGTCCTTTCAAATGTCTGTCTGAATCATTGGTATTTTGTTTAGATTAAAAGCTAGAGATAGGAGGCTGTCAAATGTGCTCTGCAAAGCAGCAGTGGGAGTCCCGAGGGCCAAGGGTACAGATGAGATAAAGGTAATTAAATCACAAGGGTCGTGACTTCCAGCCTGCAGTCTTAGATTCTGCTAGGCAGAGAGCCTGAGGTTGGAGGGGCCTTGCTAGCGGAAGGGAAAATGGGGTAGAAATTTCAGTTCCCAAATACCGGAGCTAGAAGCTGTGAGATGGTTGTTGGCAGAGAAATGAGAAACAGTGTCAAGGAGAAAGAGTGCTGGAAAAGTACAACACAGACTTTCCCAAATCTAATATTTACTTGCGTTTCTGACTGCAGACCACACATGGCTCTAGGGTCTTCATAGGCTATCTTTATCGACCGATTTTACAGATGAAACAGCCGAGGTTCAGAGATAATTCCTTGCCCAAGATCATACCAAGAAAGCAGAAATTGCATTTGGAGGTGGCATTTGTTGTTCGTAGTAATGGTTGTAGTAATCTGGGTCACAGGCATCCGAAAGACCAGGCGTGAAAGAGCTGAGCTAAGGAGAAACAGTCTGCTACCAGAGAGCGAATTTAGGAAGTTCCACTTGACTGATAAAACCGCATTTGCATGGACAAGTCATTGGAGTAAAGAGTGGAACCCTAAGAAATCTCATGTGGGTAAGTGGTCGCTACAGAAACTACTTGCTTGGTCCTTGACGGTTACGGGCTTAGCAGTTCTTATTTTTTGTCCAGGAATTAGGAATTGGCATCATTGTACAGAAAGGAATGCAGACTTGCCAGGCAGGGAAATGCTCCATGAACTCATATCCATGATAAAAAGAAACAGGTTCTGTAATTGCTACACATCTGTGAGAGAAAATTTTAAAATAGAGCTTTTTCTGAATAATTAATCTTATCTCTTGATTTAGGCCCTCATTTTTTAGTAATGAATATTTATATCTCATTACCATCTACTTTGCTTACTGACTGCAAATTTATAGTCACTTCGGGAGAGGAGCTGAGAGGCTGATGGTGAAAAAGCTGCAATACGCAGGCTGAAAACTTTTCAACTCAGCTACAATTAAAGCACCAAAGCACTTGAGCTCCCTGTTAGAAATATTTTCAGATTTTATAGTCTCTGAAACGAATGCTGCTTCCATGATGCTCGTGGAGATAGATTGAGCATTACGATGCACTGTGAAGATTGTTTTTCTCCTCCTGAGATTGGGCCTGCAATTAGTAAATACTAGCAAGAGGTTAGTGGAATTTAGGCCTTTTGAATGTGGCCCATGGAGTACAGGAACCCCAGGAATCAATGACTAAAAAGTGTAGATTTAGTTTTTACTATAATTTTTTTTTAATAAGCCAGACACGAAACGACAAATGTATGATTCCACTTACATGGTGTATGTAGGATAGGCAAACTTAGAGAGCAAGTAGGATGGTGGTGATCAAAGTCTGCAGGAGAGAGAGGAATGGAAAGTTATTGTTTAATGGGTACAGTTTCAGTTTGGGAAGATTAAAAAGGTTTTTTTTTTTTTTTTAAAGATTTTATTTATTTGACAGAGAGAGAGACACAGTGAGAGAGAGAACACAAGCAGGGGGAGGGGGAGAGGGAGAAGCAGGCTTCCCGCGGAGCAGGGAGCCCGATGTGGGGCTCGATCCCAGGACCTCGGGACTATGACCTGAGCCAGGACTCTGGTACCATGACCCAAGCCAAAGGCAGATGCTTAATGACTGAGTCACCCTGGCGCCCCTAAAAAGGTTTTCAAGATAGATGGTGATAATGTTTGCCCAACAATGTGACTGTATTTACTGCCACTTAACTGCATGACTAGAAAGTGGTTAAAGTGGCACATTTCATGTTATGCATCTTTTACCACAATAAAAAAAATCCTTAAGCCGCAACAATAACGTCAATAATACCAACTAGTTTTGACTGTTGTGCTGGGAAAGTGCTAAATGGTTTTAATGTGCATTCTCTCATTTAACCCCTAAGGTAAGTACCAAAGAAAATGAGATACAAAAGTTTAAGTCATCTGTTTCAGCTTCACACAGAGAGCAAATGTTAGAGCAGGGTTGGAACCTAGGTCTATTTACAAAGCCCATGCTATACCTGTATCATTATAAATATATTATATATAATATATAAAGTATATATTTAGGACTTGAAAGTCCTTTTTAAAGTTTGCACAAGATTTTCATATTTTATATTTTCACATCAAACCAAAGGCAAGATTTAAATAAAAACAAACGCTGAGGCTCAATGTTCTAATGCCAACAGTGGCTTTATTGTCAGCTAATGCTTTTTTAACTCTCCATCTACAGAACCTCAAACACAAGGCAAAGGAGGGGCGCCTGGGTGACTCAGTCGTTAAGCACCTGCCTTCGGCTCAGGTCATGGTCCCAGGGTCCTGGGATCAAGCCCAGCATCGGGCTCCGTGGGAAGCCTGCTTCTCCCTCCCCCACTCTCCCTGCCTCTCCCTCCCTGACACCCCTGCTTCTTCCTCCCCCACCCCCCCTGCTTGTGCTCCCTCTCTCCCTGTGTCTCTCTCTGTCAAATGAATAAATAAAATCTTAAAAAAAAAAAAACACAAGGCAAAGGCGATCCTGGGGCTAGCATCCTTCTCTCACACTGTAATTTTGGCAGTAAGATAGAAGAGGGGGGAGAATGAACTTGCTCCCTTTCCCATCTGCCCCCTCCTGTTGTTTCATTTGATGGTCTTCATAGGATTTCTACCATGGACTTCTGTTACTTTGTGTTGTTTCTGCCCCCATTCCATACCCTACTTTCAAAACTGTCCCTGCCTCTCCCCTGGGTGGTCCATCAGGGGCTCCACCAGCTCTAGACTCACAAGGGTGGGCAAGTGACCCCAGCAGGGACAGAGTCATTTCAGAGGAGTGAATGTTGACTTTGCTGTTACTTAGGGAAAGCCTGCCTGAAGATGGGTACCTAGAAAACCAGAGCCAAGAAATGGAGGGTCCTGTTGACATTGTTTTAAAATGTTTGGCCTTTGTTCTGGGAATGGCTGACACACAATGGGCATTCAGTTATATTTTCCTTGAAATAACACATCGTCTGACCAGTTTATGAAAACACCAAGATTTCGAGTGCTGAAATGTGGCCTGAGCACAGTGTCTTTCCATTCTGTATATCCAGTTCATTCATTCAGTGAATATTTACTGTGTAGCAGGTGAGACAGGAACCTGAACAGGTGACTGTCATAGTCTGTGGTTGAATGTAGCATCAGAAACAGAGTATTATGGGAGCACAAAGGAAGCACTTCTACCTCTGTGGGAAGAGTATTTCAGGCTGAGATTGAAAGGGGGCTATGTTGGGTAGGTTCCGGAACATCAGGGCAGCCAGTGTGGCCTTTGTCAGCCTTTGCCACCAGCCTTTCTCCTCCTGTGAAATTGGTTATCCCAGTAATGTGATGAGGCTCTTTAGCTTATCTTTATCCTTTCTTTCTTGGAGAGAAGGTCTCTTTCACCCCTAAAGTTATGAGTAGATGTCTCCTAATTCAAAACTTCTAGTTCTAATCTTTCTACATGATCCCAGGTGAATATTTTCTATTGCTTTCATGAAATTGCCACTTGAATCTCCTGGTTCCTTCAGATCTACAGGTACTCTGAAGAATTCATCGTCGTCTCCACCTCAAACACAGCCAACCAGCTCCTGTTCCTGGTGATACTTCCCATTGCCATTGAGTTAGTGAGGCTTACAACTTCAAAAGCCACTTTTGCTCCCTCCTCCCTGGTATTTTACATGGAATCAGTCATCCAGACCAGATGCAAATGGTCAAAGCTCCGAAGATGGACCCCACCAAGGTACTAAACAGGACTGGACATGTTGTAAGTGGGCAATCATTCTCTGGCTTTTTGCAATCAAGAAGAAATGATTTTTTTTCCCTCTTTGACTCATCTGCAACATGTTTATCTTTACCTGAAAACTTCTATTGAGGTAAAATCTGGAAGACCACAAAACACACTTCCAGATGAGCTTCCATGATTAATGGATTGTGAACAAATCGCTTTAAACGCAGTGAACACATATGAGTGCAAGTGTTTGTCTCCACTCTGATTTAAGCCAGCTGGGATTACCAGTTGGGTTCATTCTGAGCTGTTTCTGAGGTGCCCAGGGACTCTCAACTATTTTGTCTTTATTTCATTCTGGTACTGAAGTGATGTGAAGTCTCCAAAGTCACTTTAGTGCTACACAAGGGCTGCTATGCAAGAGCATACCCATTTTCTCCATCACATATTTTTTTAAACCTGCAGACCACCCTTCTTCAGAAAGCATTCCCTTATTAACCTTATGCACTCTTATGTGCTTTGTGGTACCTCAACATTCAAGGTGTCATATTTGCCAATTCGATTCAATTGGGAAGCAGGCAGCCCAAATAAAGTCAAAAATGAATTATCAATAATTAAATAAAGGCAGTTTTAATGATGTTAAGACTTCACGGTAACTCTAGTCAGGGCCAATGTTGTCTAAAGTACAGGGAAAAACAATTAATATGAATTGTAACAAAATATCAATGGAAGAAATGATTAGTCTTTGTTCTCAAACCTTTTTTCATTTGTAATAGTTGAATAAGAAGCAAGGTAAAGTAGAATTATGTAAGGTATACATGTTATTTCTTGTCAAGAGATAGCTGAATCTGAACATTTATTTTAAAGTCAGTTACAAGTTAGGAAACACAATTCATATATTTATCTAAATGTGTACTTTGTTCTAGGGCGATGTGCTTGTCAAATATTTTCACACTATGGCATATCTAGAAAACAATCATCTTTGTGTAGCACACTGGTCTAAGTGGATGAAGCTGCTCACAACCATGGAACAGACTGGAGAGGGGCTACAGGTCCTGTCTGGCAACCCCACGGGCTGAGAGGATCCATATCTGAGCACACTTATAACACATACATGATTGAGTCTAGTCTAGAAAATAAGAAGGCAATATAGTGTATTGTCGGTCCTAATCTCAGCTCTGGAATCAAACTGTGTTCTCAAGCACTTCCTAGCCCTGAGAGCTCTGTGATTTTCAGTTTCCTTATCTGTAAAGGGGCTAATGAATTCTACCTCACAGGTTTCGATTATCCCTGTAAAGTGCTTAGAATTGTGCCTGACACTCAGTAGGTGCTCAAAAACTGTTAGCTGTTACTTTGTACTCAAACCCTGGGACTATCCAAACAGGAGGAAGCCAGATGGTACTGAATAAAACACAGGAACTTCCCAGGAGATGGGTGGGTCACTAGAGAAAAGGCTATATTGTTACTATGGAAATGTGCCTGCAGTATCACAGCTAAACTAGATTGTGGCATACATTTTCCCAAAGAATAATTCCAGATACAGACTAGAATTCAATGCGCAAACAGGATTTAATTTACAGGATTTACAGCACAGATCCCTACTTCAGAAATGAATCTATTCACTACATAAAAGTAAATATCATTTAAATTATTTATTTTGGCCATAACAGTATTTTCTTATTAAGAATCTAAGATAATTTGGGCTTTGCAATATAATAATGTGAAAAATTTATAAGTTTGAATGTGAATTTAATGAAGTCGAGAAGTAAATTTACTTACCTTGAAAAGGATTGTAATATATGAATTAAACAGATACTTGTCAGTATAATCCTTAAAGAGGATTTAGTTCTCAGACTTTCCATCTCTACCTTATTCATATAATTAGCATCTCATTTAGTCAATTCATATGTTCTGTGGGTGAAGGGCAAATTTAGTTCGTACTTTATGTTCCCTAAAATTAGAACATATAATCCATATCTGAAATCTGTTGAGAATTTATTTTGAGTTCTCTGTATTTTCTCTATGAAGAATTTGCTATAAAGAAATCTTTTTACAAAATTACATAATAATTCTACTGTGGGATAATCAAAATCCCAAGAAGCACAAAAAAGAAAATCCAAGATAAACAAATATTCAACATTAATTTATTATTATTATATATATTATATATTATATTATTCAACATTAATTTATAATTATAATATCTATAATTTATAGGGTCAAAATACTGGGATACATTTGTCATTTTGAGTGACAGTAATAAGTACATGACTCTGAGGAGCTATCACATGACATGTTAAATAGAAATTGTTCAAATGTGCTCTGAGTCACTACGTTTCAGTGACTTTTTTTTTTGATGTGCTCATATTGGCTGCATTGTCAATATACCTGCCCAGTTACGTGGATAATGATGACTAATATTCTGCTCATATCTGCCACACTTTTACCTGGAAACAAAATGTTTTGTCATAATTTTAATCACAACTTAAAGACAGCAAGCCATAGTAATCATGAAATGTATTTTTAAGTTTAGGAAAATAAAGAATTTACTTTTTTTTAATTTTATTTATTTGAGAGAGAGAGAGACAGAGATAGTGAGAAAGAGAGCAAAGTGGGGAGGAGAGGGAGAAGCAGTCTCCCCGCCGAGCAGGGAGCCCGATGCGGGACTCGATCCCCGGACCCTGGGATCATGACCTGAGCCGAAGGCAGACCCTTAACCGACTGAGTCATCCAGGCACCCAATAAAGAATTTACTTTTAACTGAGTAATGTTAAGCCATTCATATAATTTTCTTCCTCCCCTGATTAATATACATATCAAAAAGTTTTAAAACTGGAAAGAAAATAAGAACGCTTTTAGAATGAAGCATATGAACTATAATGACAAAAGCTCAATGAAGAACATTATTTGCCTTTCACTAATTTCTATTATCAGAGGGAAAATAGTAAATTTAGTAGCTATTTTATTTCAAATATAGGCAGATATTTCAATCATTAACATAATCTATGTGTCATTTACCATCCTCAGAAATCATTTAGCTAATTGTAATACTTTTGATTGTTTAGAACCCATTTAGTTAATATGGATTCTGGTTCCACAAAGAATGCTGCAGTTTTATTTTTTTTTCCTATGTTTTCTTTTTTTTAATTTTATTTTATTATGTTATGCTAGTCACCATACATTACCTCAATAGTTTTTGATGTAGTGTTCCATGATTCATTGGGTATAACACCCAGTGCTCCATTCAATACGTGCCCTCCTTAATACCCATCACCAGGCTAACCCATCCCCCCAACCCCCTCCCCTCTAGAACCCTCAGTTTGTTTCTCAGAGTCCATTGTCTCTCGTGGTTCATCTCCCTCTCCGATTACCCCCCTTCATTTTTCCCTTCCTACTATCTTTTTTTTTTTAACATATAATGTATTATTTGTTTCAGAGGTACAGGTCTGTGATTCAACAGTCTTACACAATTCACAGCGCTCACCATAGTACACACCCTCCCCAATGTGCATCCTCCAGCCACCCCATCCCTCCCACCCCCCAGCACTCCAGCAACACTCAGTTTGTTTCCTGAGATTAAGAAATCCTCATGTCAGTGAGATCATATGATACTTGTCTTTCTCTGATTGACTTATTTCACTTAGCATAACACCCTCTAGTTCTATCCACATCATTGCAAATGGCAAGATTTCAGGGTTTTTGATGGCTGCATAATATTCCATTGTGTATATATACCACATCTTCTTTATCCACTCATCTGTTGATAGACATCTTGGCTCCTTCCATAGTTTGGCTGTTGTGGACATTGCTGCTATAAACATTGGGGTGCACGTACCCCTTCGGATTACTACATTTGTATCTTTGGAGTAAATGCCCAGTAGTGCAATTGCTGGGTCGTAGGATAGCTCTATTTCCTTTTTTTTCTTTTTTTTTTTAAGAATTTATTCATTTATTAGAGAGAGAGAGAGAATGAGAGATAGAGAGCACGAGAGGGAAGAGGGTCAGAGGGAGAAGCAGACTCCCCGCTGAGCAGGGAGCCTGATGCGGGACTCGATCCCGGGACTCCAGGATCATGACCCGAGCCGAAGGCAGTCGCCCAACCAACTGAGCCACCCAGGCGCCCGGGTAGCTCTATTTTCAACTTTTTGAGGAATCCCCATACTGTTTTCCAAAGTGGCTGCACCAGCTTGCATTCCCACCAACAGTGTAGGAGGGTTCCCTTTCTCCGCATCCCTGCCAACATCTGTCGTTTCCTAACTTAATTTTAGCCATTCTGACTGGTGTGAGATGGTATCTCGTTGAGGTTTTGATTTGGATTTTCCTGATGCCAAGTGATATTGAGCACTTTTTCATGTGTCTGTTGGCCATTTGGATATCTTTTTTGGAAAAATGCCTGTTCGTGTCTTCTGTCCATTTCTGGAATGGATTATTTGTTCATTGGGTGTTGAGCTTGATAAGTTCTTTATAGATTTTGGATACTAGCCTTTTATCTGATATGTCATTTGCAAATATCTCCCATTCTTTCAGTTGTCTTTGGGTTTTGTTGACTGTTTCCTTTGCTGTGCAAAAGCTTTTTATCTTGATGAAGTCCCAGTAGTTCATTTTTGCCCTTGCTTCCCTTGCCTTTGGTGATGTTTCTAGGAAGAAGTTGCTGTGGCTGAGGTTGAAGAGGTTGCTGCCTGTGTTCTCCTCTAGGATTTTGATGAATTCCTGTCTCACATTTAGGCCTTTCATCCATTTTGAGTCTATTTTTATGTGTGGTGTAAGGAAATGGTCCAGTCTCATGCTTCTGCGTGTGGCTGTCCAATTTTCCCAACACCATTTGTTGAAGAGAATGTCTTTTTCCATTGGACATTCTTTCCTGCTTTGTTGAAGATGAGTTGACCATAGAGTTGAGGGTCCATTTCTGGGCTCTTTATTCTGTTCTATTGATCTATGTGTCTGTTTTTGTGCCTGTACAATACTGTCTTGATGATGACAGCTTTGTAATAGAGCTTAAAGTCTG